TCTTCTTTTTTTCTTCTGTGATTTATTTACCTTCTATAATTGAAACTCTGTTGCCATCATTGGCGCTCCCAGCTCTGAGGCCAAGGCTGGCTGAAAGCAGGTACCTGGGGTTTGTTTAGCTTCTATAATTGCAACATTGTTGCATCCAGAGCTCAGAGCTGGGCTGCGGCAAGCAGGGAACCTTGGCTTCCTCCATCGCCGGGGCAACCAAGCCTCATGTTCGCTTTAGCTGCGTGGCTGCGGGCCGCCATCTTGGTTGGCAGTTAATTTGCATATCGTCCTGATTAGCCAATGGGAAGCATATTGGAGGTATGGTTAATTACCCTATTTGTCTTTTATTAGATAGGGTTTTCTCTGCTTTGGTGTGTCACTGTGGGATATAATCACTTCCAGCCTGTGATTATCTCTTGGGAGGGAACGGAATGGAGTTGGCTTAAGGTACACAGGGAACTTCATGTGTATCTCTGGATGTTAAAAAATAAAATAAATATTGCAAAATTTTTAAGATTTAAAACATTTGGATAATGGATACCCATTCTTAAATATATTATTCTTGACAAAGTAAAAACTATTGGGGAAGCTGAAACCGGTTTGGCTCAGTGGATAGAGCGTTGGCCTGCGGACTGAAAGGTCCCAGGTTCGATTCCGGTCAAGGGCATGTACCTGGGTTGCGGGCACATCCCCAGTAGGAGATGTGCAGGAGGCAGCTGATCAATGTTTCTCTCTCATCGATGTTTCTAACTCTCTCTCTGCCTTCCTCTCTGTAAAAATAAATCAATAAAATATATTAAAAAAAGTATTGGGGAAAATCACATTATGATTATTTGCTCCATAAGTATCCTCTGATTTTTGGCCAAATGCAATCCAATTTTGACCTGACTATTCTCAAAATGCAATTTCAAAAAAGAAAAGAAGGAAGGAAGGAAGGAAGGAAGGAGGGAAAGGAGGGAGGGAGGAAGGGAGAAAGAAAGAAAGAAAGAAAGAAAGAAAGAAAGAAAGAAAGAAAGAAAGAAAGAAAG